CTTCCCCCCAACTTTTAATCTTGAAAGCTCAAGAGTGGCTCTGGGGCCGTGAGCACCTGTGCGTCCGTTGTCTCGATGCGCCAGCTGTCAGCATTTTGCCACATTTGCTTCCTGTCTCTTTCTAAATATGTGTGTGTATATTTCTGAACCTCTCGAGGGAGGCTGCAGGCATCCTGACTGTCACCCCTAAATACTTCAGGGCACATCCCAAGGAAAGAGGACATGGTCCCACGTCACCTCCATGCCGTAGCTGCTCCTAACGAAATGAGCAGTGAGTCCATCCAGGCATCTGAGTGCCTTCCAGCTTCCCCCACCATCCCCATCATATCTCTCACACCCATAGTTGTTGTGGTTCAGTTGCTCAGTCATGTCCGACTCTTTGTGACCCCATGGACTTCAGCATGCCAAGGCTCCTTGTCCTTCACTATCTCCTGGACTTTGCTCAAACTCAGGTTCGTTGAGTCAGTGACGCCATCCAACCATCTCATCCTCTGATGCCCCCTCCTTCTCCTGCTCTCAGTCTTTCCCGGCATCAAGGTCTTTTCCAGTGAGTCGACTCTTTGCATCAGGTGGCCAAAGCACTGGAGCTTCAACCTTAGCATCAGTCCTTCCAATGAGTACTCAGGACTGATCTCCTTTAGGATGGACTGGTTGGATCTCCTTGCAGTCCAAGGGCCTCTCAAGAGTCTCCTCCAAACCACAGTTGGAAAGCATCAGTTCTTTGGTGCTCAGCCTTCTTTATGTCCCAACTCTCACATCCATACAAGACTACTGGAGAAACCACTTTGACTAGACGGACCTTTGTCAGCAAAGTGGTGTCTCCAATTTTTAATATACTGTCTAGGTTTGTCATAGCTTTTCTTCCGAAGAGCAAGCATCTTTTAATTTCATGGCTGCAGTCACTGTATACAGTGATTTTGGAGCCCAAGAAGAGAAAATCTGCAAGTTTCCACTTTTTCCCCATCTATTTGCCATGAAGTGATAGGACTGGATGCCATGATCTTCATTTTTTGAATGTTGTGTTTTAAGCCAGCTTTTCACTCTCCTCTTTCCCCTTCATCAAGAGGCTCTTTAGTTCCTCTTTGCTTTCTGCCATAAGGGTGGTGTCATCTGCACCCATAGTAGCTGGTCTTTAACTCCAGATTCAGGACCCAAGCCAGGCATTTCAAGTTGCATTTGATGGCCTTGTCTTATTAGTCTTTTTTTAAATCTGGAACAATGCCCTGCCTTGTTTTCTACCTTTTTGCACTGACATTTAAGTACCCTGGACAGTTGTCTGGTCGAATGTCCCACGTTCTGCATTTGCCTAGTTGTATCTTCATGATTAGACTGGGAGCTGGAATTTGGAGGCAGGCCTGCCTGACCTTTGTGGAGTGGGGGCAGGTGGCCAAGCCCCTCCGAGATCTGCCTGCTGCTCGCTGCCCCTCCAACAGACCCCAGGGCTACAGGCAGTGAAGCAGTGGCAGCTGCCGGGCCTGGCACGGGGCCAGGGGATACCTGTTTCCTGGTTAATTAGCTGCGTGAAGCAGGGGCAGGGCCTGTCTCCCCCTTCCCAGCTCACAGCCCGCAGAGCTCGGCCACCTGCTGACCACTCTGTGCTCTGTTGTGGGGACCCTTGTAATGGGGAAGGGGCAGCCAACTGTGTCTGTGTCTTGAGGGCTTATTGGGTACGGGGCCTGGTGAAGGGCACGGGGAGGAGGTGGAGGTTGAGAGGCCCTGGGGAGGGGGTGCTGCTGGGAGATGGGGCGCTGCTGGGAGATGGGGCAGGGGGCATAGTCAGGAGAGCATCGGGACTTCTGAGCTGGGGGTTTCCAGGGAAGCCTCCTCCTCTGACCTTGAGGGGGCGGCCTCACGTAAGGTCAGTAGTGGACCAGCACCCCAGTGCTTGCTACCCTGCTCCTCTTGTTTGTATCATATGATGCCAAGGTCACACAAGGTCACACAGCTCATTGGATGACTTGAAGTCGGGGCGGGGGGTGGCTGTCCACTTGGGCATCCATCCTGGGCTCTGGAGGCACAGTCCTGGCCCCTGGCCCCACCCAGCCACCTCAGGTAACTTAGCCAAGTAACCTGGCCTGTCTGAGCCTCAATCTCCTCATTGGGAAAACAGGAGCACACCTATCTATGGGATTTTATGCCCGTGAAGAGCACCAAGCATTTTAGTCTTCACAACTAGCCCATTTGACAGATGAGGAAACTGAGGCTCAGAGGGGGGAAGTACTTCACCCGGGGACACACAGCTAGTAAGCTGTGGAGCTAGGTTTAAACTCGGGCTGTCCATTCTGGCTCCAGAGCATGAGACCCTAAGCTCCTGGCTACGCTATGATGGATCTCCTGTGTCTCCAGGTTGAATTCAAGGATCAGTTCCTTGGCTCCTGCTGCCCTTCTCTACCAAGTATGGGTGGTAAGTGTAGGGCCGCCCAGTCTGTTAGACCAGGGAAGATTTCCCTCACCACCCTCCTGCCTGGTTCCCTTCCCACTCTCTTGTTCAGCCACTCAGTCGTGTCCGACCCTTTGCGACCCCACGCTGCAGCACTCCAGGCTTCCCTGTCCTTCACCGTCTCCCGGAGTGTGCTCAGCCTCATGTCCACGAGTTGATGATGTCATCCAACCGTCTCATCCTCTGTCGTCCCCTCCTCCTCCTGCCCTCAATCTTTCACAGCATCATGGTCTTTCTTTTCTGAGTCGGCTCTTCGCATCAGGTGGCTAAAGTATCAGAGCTTCAGCTTCAGCATCAGTCCTTCCAATGAATATTCAAGGTTGATTTCCTTTAGGATTGACTGGTTTGATCTCCCTGCTGTCCGAGGGACTCTCTACCCTCTGCCAAAACCCTCTTGGAAAATTGCATTCTTTTACACCAGGGCTGGCTGTTCTTGGTAACCTACAACTCTCACTGTGGCCTTGCTGTCTCTCTCTGTTTAAACTGGAGTGTGATTGCTTTACAATGCTATGTTGGTTTCTGCTGTACAACATCAAGAATTAGCTTTTTGTGTCCATATATCCCCTCCTCCTCGAAGCTCCCTCCGCCACCCCCGTCCCATCCCTCTGGCTCATCACAGAGCCTTGAGTTGAGCGCCCTGTGTTATATATACAGCGGCTTCCCGCTAGCTGTCTGTTTTACACGTGGTCGTGTATATACATTAATGCTGCTCTCTCGGTTCATCCCTCGCTTTCCTTCCCCCTCTGCATCCACAAGCTTGTTCTCTATTGTCTGCGTCTCTATTCCTGCCCTGTAAATAGGTTCACCAGTACCATTTCTCTAGATTCCACATGTGTGTCTTTTTTTTTTTTTTAATGTTTTATTTATTTATTTGGCTATGCCAGGCCTTAACTGAAGCATGTGGGATCTAGTTCCCTGACCGGGGATCAAACCCTGGGCCCCTGCATTGGGAGCACAGAATCTTAGCCACTGGACCACCAGGGAAGTCCCACATGTGTGTCTTAATATATGATGTTTGTTTTCCTGACTTACTTCACTCTGTATGACAGACTCAGCGTTGTGCCCGTGGACAGGGCATCTCCTCCAGCCTCTTGTGGGAGGAGAGTGCTGACAAGGGGGGCTTGGCAGAGTCTTGCCACCTGCCCCGGGAGTCTGACCACCAGGGTCCGGCTGTGGGCGGGTGGCTGAGCCACAGACTCGAATGCAGACCCTCGCCCTCCCACTGCACGTCCTGCCACCCTTCGTGCCTCAGTTTCCCCATCTGCAACCAGGGCAGAGTGGCAGCGTCCCTGGGAGCGTTGTCAGGGCAGCTGAACCAAAGCACAGAGGCCCGCCCTGCTCCAGATCGAGGCTTGTGGTGGGCGCTCGGGACTTGGCAGCTGTTCCGAGTTTGCTCTGAACAGTTTCTTGAAAAGTGACCTCGAGTCTGATCAGGCACACATGGTGAGGTGGATCCCCTTGGACTTCCTTCCCCACTTCGCTGGGAAGGGACTTCAGTTCTTTTACTCATCTGACCTGCACCCAACACCCAGCTTCCTGTCTGTTCACTTACTCATTCATTCTCCAAGTCTGCATCGAGCACATCTGAGTGCCAGGCCCTGTGCTGGGGACTCAGGAGTATTCACACCTGTTCTGATTGGATTCCCAGGACAGCTAATGTGGCAGGTACTGTAACTGTTTTTCCCATTTTACAAACAGGAAAACTGAGGCACGGAGTGCTGGAAGTGCTCTCCCAAGGTCCACCCCCCCCACCCCAGGAATGAGCGAGGCCTTAGAGGTGGTTAGATGTTCTTGTTCAGTGACTTTAGAGATATTACTGGTTTTGTTCCAACCCGAACTGATTCAGTACTTTTCAGAAAAAAAAAAAAACTTTTTTTTTGGTTTATTTCACGGTTCAGTAAAGAATGACTGTTTGGGCTTGGCTGGAGGTTGTGCTACTTTATATGGCTTGTTCCATCTTTTGGTTCACGGCTCCGTTCTTGCCTTGCCTGTAAAAAGAACCTGGGGCTGAATGCTTTGAGGGGCTGGAGGGATGGGTGGAGGAGGGGAGGGTGCTGGGTGTTTCCAGGGTGGAGAAGGGGGTTCAGCCTTTCTGCCCCCGCCCTCCATGCGCCGGCAGGGAGGCTGAGTGCCTGGGGACACCAATGGCTTTTCTGACCATCCTGTCCCCAGGGACGCCAGATGGGGACGACTGATCCTCCGTTTTGGTCCGGGCACACAGTCCTGCCTGACCTGCTCAGGGCAGCAGGGAGAGACCAGCCCCTGCCTGCAGGAGGCTGGTCTTGACAGTCCTCCCAGCAGCGCAGTGGACATCTGGAGGGGATGGGCTATTGTCGTCCCCTGGGGTCAGGATGGTCAGACTGAAACTGCTCACCAGCTGTGGGTAGGGGATCGCAGGCATCTTCTTGTACAGAGCTGGCTGGTGTCCAGAAATGTCCAGACATGGGCAGAATGGCCAAGGGCGGGGGCAGGGAGGGCAGGAAGGAGGCTGCCCTGTGTCTGTCTGTCCCCTAGGACACCTCCCGGAGCTAAAAGGCCTCTCTTCTCTTTTCTCTTGCAGTTACCGAGAAGGAAGTCCAGCAGTGGTGAGTAGCTGCGTTTTCCCCGAACTCTTGGGTGGGTTGGGGGTGCTGGCTTCGTGCTGATGGGCCAGCGGCCCAGCTGCCCAGGACAGGGGCACGTGGAGGGCCCTCTGAGAGGGGCTTATCCACAAATGGGTCCAGGCAGCCTTCGGCTCAGATTCCTTTGTTCACAAGGAATGGATGTGGATCCAGCTGAACTGTGGCTGGGGATGGTGGTGGGTTGGTGGTGAGCCCTTGCCTCGGATGGCATCTCTGAGGACCGCCAGTGTTCATTTCAGACCCTGCTCACCCGAGCGAGGGGTTTGAACCAGAAACAAGTCAGGAGACTGGATCCCAGGCCCAGCTTTGTCACTAGATTATCACATGGTCTTGAGAAGTCTCTCCCCCCCTCTGGGGTTCAGCCACTCTCTCTATAAAGCGATTGAATAGATCAGATCAAGGATGGTGGATAGTTTTCTTCTTGGATGCCGGCTCTGATCAGTCCATAGTAGCTGCTTGGAGTGCTGTGTTAAGGAGGATTCTGAGGCCGTATGTCATGGAGCGAATGGAAAGTATAGCAGTGAGGCATCAGTGAGGTCTGTGATGGATTAGCGATGCCTTCCCTGGGTGGGGAGGGGAGAGTGGGTGCTGTCTGTCATTGCAGAATGTGGAGCCCCCGGGGGAGGCTGACTGTTAGGTGAACCTGAGTTGGGGGTGGATAGGTGAGCAAGGAGGGGGGCTTGGCGACCTTCTAGAAAGCTTGGTGGCTTAGAAATGGACTCTAGAGCCCCAGCCTTGCCTCTTCCCATCTCTTTGGCCTCTGAGCCTTCGTTTCCCCATGTAGGAATAATGAGAGATTGAAGTGATAGTCCCTGTAAAGGTCACAGCAGAGGGTCCAAGAGCTGACAACCACTGATGGTGGTCTTCCCTCCACTGTTCATACGTGCACTCCATCACAGCAGGCCGAGGAGGCCACACCTGGGAAGGCCCCAGGTCACGAGACCCCTGGGGGAGCCCTGCCTACACCTCCCTGACCCTGAGTCCAGGAGAGGGGGAGAGCTGTGGCTGCCCTGCTCAGCTTGGCTGACCCCTTGCCGGGGACCCCGGCCAGGTGGGCAGCACCTGGGTGGTGAGATGGCTGCAGGGATGGAGGGTGCCTCCTCCTCCTCCTCCTTCCTTCCCCACGTCCTCGGCCGGACAGGTGGGCCTGACCCACCTCCAACCTCATTTTCCACTTCGCCACTCCCCTAGGTGGGTGTTCCAGAAATACTCCTGCTTCTAGGTCTTTATCCTCCAGGCTCACCCTCCTGGATCGCCTCACCCTGCCTCCCTGCTGTGTTTCTCTTTTGCTTAAAGCCCCTTTGTGGGGACTTCCCTGGTGGTCCAGTGGCTGAGACTCTGAGCTCCCAAGGCAGGGAGTTCCATCCTTGGTCAAAGAACTGGATCCCACATGTGACCACAAAGGGCAAAGACCCTGCGTGCCTCGACTAAGACCCGGCGCGGCCAAACAGACAAATGCATATATATATATGTATGTATAAAAGCCCCTCGTGGCTTCTTACTGCACTCAGCATAAAGGCCCAGCCCCTCGCCTGGCCCTCAAGGCTTCCCGAGGTCTCTGGCCTCACCTGTTGGCTCACCAGGCACCAGCCATGCCAGGCTCCTCCCTGCCTCGGGGCCTCCATTCCTGCTGTTCCCTCTGCCCCAGATCTTGGCATCTTTGCTGCAGCGTCACCGCGTGGGAGAGGTCACACAGACCACCCTCCTTGTCTCTCCAGCCCGGTCCAGGGTGGTCTGGTCTGGGGCTGATTTTCACTAGCTGCTCCACAGAAGAGGGGCCAGGCCCAGGGGGACTTCTGTGACTCTCTGACTGGTCCTGGGCCACCCAGTGAGCAGCAGCAGAGCTGGGCAGGTGCCAGGTCCCCCCGGGGCCCCAGGTGGTCAGGAGCACAAACCAGGCCACGGTGATACGAGGCTGGGCTGGGCCACAGGGGCTCTTACCGCCCACCTGGCTTCATGCTGGTCACCCCCTCGGCTGCCCCCAGCTCTGTATTTGCAGAGGGTGGAGGCTGGGGGCTCAGGGAGGTGGGGCCAGCGTCAGGTCCGGGTCCACAGCCATCTTGATGGTCCTTGACCATCTTGACCATCTCATTTCCGGCTCTGAATGAATGCGCTCCATTCACCACAACAGAAGGTTGAAGACCTCAATGGGGGCTGAATAGGAAACCACAGACAGTGGTCCCCAACCTTTTTGGCCCCAGGGACCCATTTCACGGGAGGCAATTTTCGCATGGACCAGGAAGCAGGGGTATGGTTTGGGGATGATTCAAGCACATTATATTGATTGTGCGCTTTATGTCTAATCTGCTGCTGCTGCTGGTCAGACCAGAGGTACCGGTCTGCAGCCCAGAGGTTGGGAACCCCTGCCCTAGTAGGTTCCAGGCCCTTACAAGCGATTGTGACATCGTGATCACCCGGAGAGTGAAGGGAATGCGATCCTGAATGGGAGCAACGGGGCGTGAATAGTGCCCCCAACAGTTTTGTGATGAAAAATGTGCGGAGGGAACAGAAGATGGGAAGGAAACTGGCCAGAGCCTGGTAGTGGGTGTGTTGGGGGTGGTGGCCTCATAGATTATGGGTATTTTCTTTCTCTCACATTTTCTATTTTATAAGTTTTCCGTAATGCTTTTTATTATGTTTATAATAACCAAATAGCCCGATGGCATTGTAACAGAAACAGTGGGTGAGGCAGGAAGAATTCTGCAGCCGCCTCAACAGGGCCAGCTGTCAGTCCTGGATCCTTGTCCGCAGTCGCAGCCCTGGGTCAGGAGGCCGCCTCTCCTTAATGTCTGTGGGTGCCTCCTGTGGGCCAGGTGCTTAGAACAATGCCGTGGGGTCAGGCTAGGAGCAGCCCGTTTTACAGATGAAGAAACTGAGGCTCTGAGTCAGGTGGAGACACTTGCCCGGGTCACCCAGCTCTCTGTGTGTGTGTGTGTGTGTGTGTGTGGAGCCTGGGTCCAGCTTGCTGGCCTCCGTGGCCAGGGTACAGGGGCCCAGCCCTGCCCGCTGTGGCTTTGGGAAGTCCAACAAAGCTGAGGGCTGTGGAGGGTGGGAGGGTGGGAGGAGTGAGAAGGGGGAGGGGAGAGGTGCAGGGAAGAGGCCCCAGCCTCAGGGGTGTGTTTGAGCCCCTCCTCCAGATTGTCTGAAGGCTGGTCTCCAGGGAGCTGGGAGGGGAATGCCATGGGAAAGGAGGTGTTTGAAAAGATAATGGGGAACACTTTGCCAGGGCGCTGCGGCAGGCAGTCCCAGCTGCGTTTGGCTGATTGCAGCTGGGGGTTATGCTTTCTTCTTTATCCACCTATTTATTTGCCACTTTTCACACTGCAGAAGGCAGCGTCCGCCACACTTAACCCTTGGCGGGGAGGTGGGTGGGCATGGAGGGTGATGCAGGGCTCGCTGTAAGCTGGGTCCCAGGGGACAAGACTGTGGGATCCGAGAGCAGTGGGTCCCAGGAAGGCCTGGAAGGCTGGGGCCTTGGGGCTGCAGGGCCTGCAGAGAATGGGAAGCTGAGCTGGAATCAGACCCACGGGTCATGGCTGGTGTTCGTTCATTCACTCATCACTCATTCATTCATTAATTCACACCCTCATTCACTCATTCATTCACTATCACTCATTCATTCACTCCGTTATTCACTCATTCATTCACTCACTCCCTCATTTCTTCACTCATTCATTCATTCATTCACACCCTCATTCACTCATTCATTCACTGTCACTTATTCACTCACTCCGTTATTCACTCATTCATTCATTGACTCCCTCATTCACTCCCTTATACCTTCGTTCATTTGCTCACTTCCTCATTCACTCATTCATGCCCTACTCTCATTCATTGGCTCACTTTCATTCACTTACTCCCTTATTCCTTCATTCATTCATCCACTCCCTCTTTCCTTCACTCCCTCATTCATTCATTCATTTGTTGGCCCATTCATTCAGTAAATCTTTACTGAGCACCTACTCTGTGCCAGGCTCCTTCCGGGGGCAGCAGGGACTGGGGGAGATGAGGCGCTGGAGTCTCCCAGGGGACCCAGGCTGGCACAGTGGGGGGCAGACACGGGGCTGGTGCTGTGGTGGGAGGCGTACAGGAAGGAATGTTTTGTAAGTGGCATTCAGCCTGCAGTGTTTTTATGAAATGACAGATTTCTTTTCCTTCCCTTTCCCTCTTAAAGAGGTGTCAGAACGCAGTTGTCGAATCTAGGCTTTTCTTCTCTCATTTCCTCCCTGTCGTGGAGAGCTGACTCTCAGGTACAGTCAGCCACGTCAAACGCCCGTGCTCTCGTGGCTGGAAACCGCGTGTGCGGAGCTCCGGGGCAGGGCTGTGTCCTGGATTCGGTTCCATGGCTTCTCCTCCGATCCCTAAAGAGAGTTAAGACCCCTGCTCTGAAACAAGGCTGTGTGAGGATGCTTTGTGCCGCTCCCCTTCCCCGGCCTGACCTGCGCCAGCATCAGCGCCAGGACTTCTGTCGCTTCCACCATTGGGCTGGAACCAGGCAGAAGGCACCCGGGAAAATAGGCCATGGAGGTTTTGGGCCACGGCTGGTGGCTGGCCGCACACAGAGGTGGTGCTGGGGCTCCACCTCGGGCCCCCCGTTTGCCCACGTGCGACTCACTAGGCGTCTACTGAGCCCCTGCCACGTGTTGGTACATCTTGCAGATTCGGGGTGAACTAGAAGATGTGAGGTTCCTGCCTCGACAGACCCTGAGATGCACTCACTGGCCTGTCATCACAGAGGCTACGGCCACCACTGCAAGGCCCAGGCCAGGGACAGGGTGCTGTGAGTGTGTGTGCTAGAGCCTTGCTCTGTCTGGGGTGGGCAGAGGGGGCTTCTCTAGGGGAGATGAACTGAGGCTAAGAACAAAAGGGGGAAGGAGGAGGGGAAGGAGTGTGCTGGGCTGAAGAAATGCCATGTGGTGGCCCTGAGCCAAGAGGAAATATAACAGCTCCTAGCCTCAGTTTCCCCATCTGTACAATGGGTGTAATAATCCCCACTTCCTGGGTTTGTTGGGACGATTTGGTGAAATGGTGCCCAGAAATCACATAGCCCCATGTCTGTGTGTGCATGCTAAGTCAGTTTAGTCATATTCAACTCTTTGCAACCCCATGGACTGTAGCCCGCCTGGCTCCTCTGTCCATGGGACTCTCTAGGCAAGAATACTGGAGTGGGTTGTCATGCCCTCCTCCAGGAGATCTTCCCCACCCAGGGAGTGAACCTGTGTCTCCTGCAGTTCCTGCGTTGCAGGCGGATTCTTTACTGCTAAGCCACCTGGAAAGCCCAGGTCCCTGTTGTTAGGAATCCTTGACCACTGAAAGATAGACACTGGGAAAGACCCTCTTTCTGCTCTGCGGGGCTCCCCGGAGACCATCTAGTCCTATGGTTTTCTACTGGAGTGGCTCTGCCCCAGGGAGGATATTGGCATTGTCTGGAGACACCTTGGGTTGTCATAACTTGGGGTGGGGATGCTTCTGGCATCTAGCAGGGGGAGGCCAGGGAAGCCGTCAAATATTCCATCTCACTGGACAGGCCTCCATGACCAAGAATCATCCGACTCCAGGTGTCGGTAACCCCAGTAGAAAACCCTGATCTAGTCTAAGCCATTTATTTTGCCAGCAGAGAAACTGTGGGACATTGCGGGGAAAGGCTTTCCTCAGGTCCCTCTTACAGTGAGACATGATGAGCTGGGACTGGAGCACAGGGCGGGCTCCGGCACAGGTTTCCAGGCAGCTGTGTGTCTGAAGCAGAGAGGGAGGGGTGGTGGGGGGAGAGGGAGGAGGCCCCGGGCCTGTTGGAACCTGAGCCAGGGCCAGGGATGGGGCCACAGTCACGTACGTCTCTCGTTATCCTGGGATGGAATTCCTGGGCAGGAACTCAGTTATTAAGCAGCAGCTCCCTTGCATGCCCATGGTGGGGAGGGTGTGTGTGTGCCTGGGGTGTGTGTCTCGGCTCTGCCAGCCAGGGGGTGCTGAGTTTCACCTCGGAACCGGGACTTGGCAGGAAGTCCTGGTCTCAGAGCCGTGAGGGCTTGAAGAGCAAATTCAGGGCCTGGGGGCCACTGGGGCATCTGGGCCCAGACTCCTCTCTGCTTCAGCGAGATGGGGTGCCCCCATCTTCTGATGATGGGGTTACAGTGTTTGGAGAGCAAGCACTTGCTTTTACATGCAGCTTGGCTCACAGGAGAGGCGGATGAAGAGCAAGCCTGGGAGGCAGGAGTCCTGGGACCGACCAAGCCTTGTGTCTGTTGTGTGACCTTGGATCAGTCTCCCTCCCTCTCTGGGCCCCTAGTTTCCCATCGATCCATGGCGGGATGGGAGTGTACCCGTGATTCTGTAACCACCTGCCTGGAGTTCTCAGGTTCCGACCAGGGTCTCCGGGGCTCAGGAAGAATGCCTAGCTCTCCCTCTCTCTATGTTTATTCATTCATTCATTCATTCATTCACTCAGCTCATTCACTGAGTTCACAGGACGTTTACTGAACCCCCATTATGTGTAGGCCCTGGGCCAGGCATGGGGGGTGCCGTGGCGTCAGGGAGTTCGGTCGGAGGGGGGACACAGCCTGAAGGTACGTGTGGTACAGTGTGGTTCCTGCTGCCCAGGGGTCTTTCCAGGGCTGGGGGAGCAGATGAGCAGTGCAGCCCCTGGGGGTGGGGGGGGGTCTGGGCAGACTTCCTGGAGGGAAGCTGAGACCTGGTGGATGAGTGTGTATCCAGGTGAAGGGGAGGAGGAGGTGTTTTGCAGGCCCAGGGACCTGCGGGTCCGAAGGCCGGGAGGGTGGCTGGCATGGCCAACTCTGGAAAGTGCCGCAGGGTGTGGAATATGGGCCAGGGGGGGACAGTGGGCAAGGGAGGCTGGGCCATCAGGCTGGAGTGGGCTGCTGCTAATGGCACCAAGGGGGCTGGGCACCACAGGGACAGGGACAGTCTCTCCCAGGGAAACTAGATAGCCGCCCCCACCCCCTGGAGGTTCCCCACTGAGGCCAGCCTCCCTGCACCCCCCAGGAAAGCTGCAGAGCCCCCACTGCCAGTGCCCCTGCAGGTGCACACAACACTGCCAGCTCCCATCCCACCGCCTTCCCCTCCCAGGAGCCAGGCAGCCGCAGGGACCCGGCCAGGAGATGGCTTTGGGCACCTTCGGGTCTCCCTCTATTAATTTTAATAATCGTTTAGAATCACTCGAGTAACACACAGCCCACTGTGGGGGGGTAATGGGAAGTGCTGGGGGACACCAGGGGAAATGTGGCCCCCGCCTGGGTCTCCAGGGCCTGCTATGCCCCCACATGTGTCATCACGTCCTGGCGCCAGGCCTGCCCCCTCCTCGTGCCCAGGGACCCGTTCTGACCCGGGGCCAGGGGTCACAGACCAAGTCTTGGCTCCGAAACACTTCTCCCTGGCTCTGCATCCTGGCCCAGGCGTGGAGATTTGCTCCTGGAACACGCACCTGGGAAGGATGTTTTGTGGGGGGACTGGCCCTTTCCTGGTCCTGCTGTGGGAGGGGTCTGGCCTCAGCGCCTTCATCTGTGAAGTGAGGTCACTGAACCCATCGAGCAGGGCTGAGCGGCGACTGCAGGAGGAACTGTCCACGAAGGCTTAGCCTAGCACCTGGCATGGGGCTGTTGTCAAAGGTGATGAGACAGGGCAACTGAGCCTGGACCGCTGCCCTGGGCCTCTGGCCTCTCGAGGTGCCCCAGGGTGTGGGCGGGAGGACACATGGAGGCCCGGCCTCCTTTAAGACCCCTTGCTTGTGATGGGCACTGCCAGTGGTGAGAACTCACAGCAGCCGGACCCCGAGCCCCGCCCCATCTCCTGGCTTCCTCCCGGCCTCTCCCTCACACCTAAGAGAACACTGACATGTTAGCAAGCGTCTTGCTTTCTGATGTCTGACCTCAATCACTTAGGCTTCCCAGGCTTCCCTGGTGGCTCAGATGGTAAGGAATCTGCCTGCAAGGCAGGAGACCCAGGTTCAGTCACGGGGTGGGGAAGATCCCCTGAAGAAGGGTATGGCTACCCACTCCAGTGCTCTTGCCTGGAGAACCCCGTGGACGGAGGAGCCTGGCGGGCTGCAGTCCGCGGGGTCGCGGAGTCAGACACGACTGGGCGACTCACTTGCACGGCTGCCAAGGCCCCTCCTTCCTGTGCCTTGCACAGCCCTTCCCCCAGCCCAGGCCCCTCAGATTGTTCTCCGAGGGTGGGGGCACTGTGGCTTCCCCACAGGCTCCCTGTGAGTTGGCCGCCAGTCACGCGTCTCCAGTAACTTTCCCAAGACCTGATCGGAGAGTGGCCCCGGGTAGACTGGAGAACGGTGACATCTTCAGGGCTGGTGTCTCTGAGCATCTGACCCTCTCACTGGGTACTTCGTACCCTGCCTCAGCTCCAGTCTAGGCTGCGAGGACTTGCAAATCTCTCCATACCCGAGCCTCAGCTTCCTAATCTTTAAAATGGGCTTGGGAACTCCTTGGCAGTCCAGGGGTTAGGACTCTGCACTTTCACTGCCAAGGGCCAGGGTTCAATCCCTGGTCGGGGTACTGAAATCCCACAAGCCACACCATAAAGAAAATGGTGGGAGGGCCATGCTCACAGTCCTTGCTGGTGGGCCTGTTTGGGTGTCCCAAGAGAATCCGGTTTGCAAAGCGCCCAGCAGACAGTGGCTGAGTGGAGGTAACAGCTGTTAGCCGATAAAAGCTGATCTGTCTCTCTACCCCCATTTGTGCTGGGAATCCTTCTCGGAGGAAGGTATGTCCTGGCTGGAGTTGCCAAGCTCCATGCAGGGGCCAGCTGGTGAACTGATTTCAAAGAGCACTGAGGTCATGACACTAAAGATCATGCCATGGATTATTTTTTATGTCCAGCCCTGTGCCAAGGATGCTACGTCAGCATCTCGCACAGTCCCCGCATGGCGGATGTGACAGCTGTCGCTGTGCATAGAGGAGGTGAGTCAGGCTCAGAGAGGAGAAGGCGCTTGCCCGAGGATGCACAGCCCGCAAATGGCAGAGACGGGATGTGGGCTGTGAAGCCATGTTGCCATCAGCTGGCTGGCTGTCTGGAGGGTCCTGTGCTGGGCCCTAGGAATGCAGGGTGGACAGGTCCAGTGGGAACCCCCGAGGTTCCCTGAGAGATTGCTGGGCTCCTCCTGCATTGTTTACCCAGTTCCCTGGGAACAGAGGCAGGGGAGCGGGTGTGTGCACATGGGGGGTGCAGGCATGTGGGAGGAGCCAGCTGCCAGGCCCCAGATGGTGGCTCTGCCCACCAGCGCCACCAGCCTGCCCGGTTCCAGGAGGGGCTCAGTGGAGAAGGTGGGGGAGGCGGGAGTGCCTTGCGCAAGAGCGAGGCTCCGAGGAGGTTGTTTGTGTGAGTTTTGTGTTAGGCGCCTGTGTGGAGCAGGGGGCTGAGTGGCCACGTGACTCTTACCCCATGGGAGAGATGAGGCTCAGAGAGGTGTGGCCACCTTTTGCCAGTCACACAGCTAATGAGAGGCAAGGGTGGGATGAGCCCAGGCCTGTGATGTCCAGGTCTGTGCTCATGACCCCGTATGGCACAGTTTCCCAGGACAGGGCCTCCGGCTTCCGGGGCACTGGGCAGGAGCTCCCAGCACGCAGTGATGCTGGAGTCTCCTTCACCGTCTCTCGCCTGGTCTCTACCTCCAGGTACAAGGGCTTCATCAAGGACTGCCCCAGCGGGCAGCTGGACGCGGCGGGCTTCCAGAAGATTTACAAGCAGTTCTTCCCATTTGGGGACCCCACCAAGTTCGCCACATTTGTTTTCAATGTCTTTGATGAGAACAAGGTGAGCTGGGGATTGATGGGGCCTGCACCAGCCCAGAGTCTCCCCCCAACCCCCCACAACCAGCCTGGAGTCCCCCCAACCACCCACAACCAGCCCAGAGTCCCCTCCTTCCTGAGGCATCTCCACACCCACACTAACTTGCTATGTTCCCTTCAGAGAAGGAACACACATACACATATACACAAATGCACACACATGCATGCGACCCACACATGCATATGCACAATTGCACATAAATGCATGCACACACACATGGACACACACGCACTCGTATTGCACACAAATGCATGCACGTGTATTCATTGTGTGAGCTCACACATGCTCAAGGCGCCCACAGAGATCCATGTACACACACACATACCATCCACACAGACATGCGTGTATGCACACATGCACACATATATGTCCACCTTGACCCTTTTCTTACAAGGACAAAAGGCAAATGCCTCCAGGGATAATAATAGGATGTGTAATCATAAAAGACATTTACTGAACATTTACTATGTACTAAGCCCTTTACATGCATTATTTTTACTGAGACCTTATAGTCAACTGGATTTCCCTGGTGGCTTAAATGGTAAAGTGTCTGCCTACAATGGGGGAGACCTTGATTCAATCGCTGGGTTGGCAAGATCCCCTGGAGAGGGAAGTGGCAACCCACTCCAGTACTCTTGCCTGGGGAATCCCATGGATGGAGGAGCCTGGTGGGCTACAGTCCATGGCATTGCAAAGATTGGGACACGACTGAGCAACTTCACTTTCTTTCACTTTACAGTTGACTACCAGTAAAGGATGCCTTTTCATTACCCCCATTTTGCAGATGAGGGAACTAACAATCATATTCTATAAGATCCTTTGTGCCTGGGTTCTTTCACTGAGCATGATGTTTTCAAGCCTTATCCACGTTGTAGCGTGTCCACCCCTGCCGCCCCCTGCCGGCGATGGCCACCCGCACAGTCGGCATATACCCACCGTTGGGGTGTCTGCAGTCCTCCAGACTCCGTCCTGCACCGGCATATTTCCTGGCTTCCTGCATGTTCGCGGTGGATGTCCTGTTACTTGTCGCCACGCTCCACACTGTTGCGCACTCAGGCTTGTTTCTGCTCTTTCATGCCCTGGCTTTCTCCGCAGGCAGCAGCAGCCAAGACGCTGCCTGACCCTGGGAGGAACTCTGGCGGCCTCTCCGGGGGCTCAGTGTCCTCAGCTGCAAACCAAATAGGATCGAACAGTCCAGAGCCCCACCTTCTCTTCAAGCTTCTGAGCCTGTGGTTCTAGGCTGAGGAGAAGGGGGTTCTGGGGGCCTCTGTGCTATGCTGAGGGAGCTGCTGGCTGTTCCTTCCACCAGCTGTGGATTCAGGCTCTCCCCCTGGCTCGCCCTGTCACTGTCCCTCCTCCTGGCCTGTCCCATTTCTAATCCTCCCCATCCCCCCCCCCCATCTTCTCTGAACCTCATCCCTTCCCTCCCTTGCTCTGCACCTGGGCGTCTGGTACCTGCTGCCGTCCATCCATCACCACCCGTTGGAGGAGGGGCCTGACCCGCGCTAACCGAGGCCACCCCTGCCCCTCTCTCTCCTGCAGGACGGGCGGATTGAGTTCTCTGAGTTCATCCAGGCGCTGTCGGTGACCTCGAGGGGAACCCTGGATGAGAAGCTGCGGTGTAAGTCCTGCTCCCTGGCGGTCCCAGGCTGGAGGGAGGCCAAACGCCCGGGCCCAGGCTGTCTGCCTGGTGCTGACAGTGGCACAGAACTCCTGTCCTTCCAGGTCAGAGGCGGTTTCCCAGGGGTGCCCAGGCAGGAGGAGCATGGCTTCTTTAGGCAGGTGGACAGATAGGGCAGGAGCAGAGAGACATTCGAGCAGGTGCAGACATGGGAGGGTCAGTGGTGAAGGAATCTGCCTGCAACCTGACCCGGGTTTGATCTCTGGGTTGGGAATATCCCCTGGAGGAGGAAATGGTAACCCACTGCAGTGTTCTTGCCTGGAGAATTCCATGGACAGAGGAGGCTGGCGGGCTACAGTCCATGGGGTCACAAAGAGGTGGACATGACTGAGCGGCTAACACACACAGACATGGGACCTCAGGCAGGACAGCGTGGAGCTAAAAGCTCCGCTTCAGGGGCTGGACCCACCGCTTCGGAGGCTGTTTTGATGAGTGATCTCATTCATTCACTTAGGTACTGGTTCAGCCAACAAATACTGACCAAACATGGCCACGTGTCAGTGCTGGGCAGAGGCTGGGACCCACTGGAGCATCAGATAGACAGGCACCTGCCTTTGTGGCTGTGAGTCTAGCGTGGGGGCATTATCCATATGGTCCCAGAAAACTGCAGCCAAGGCAGGAAGCGGGAGATGTGAGCTGACCGGACAGGAGCTGGCCCTGTTGTGTGTTGGGAGCGGAGCTGGGAAGGGGGAAGCTGGCTGGGAGAGGGAGGAGGGAAGAGGGCTTCTGCAGGGGAACAGCATGTGCAAGGCTCTGAAGAGGGTCAAGAGAAGGATTCAGAGGGGAGAGTGAGGGGATCTGGAGAGAAGATGCATACCGTGGACTAGAACTCACTTCTCCCTGAATGCAGAGTTCCAAAGAATAGCAAGGAGAGATAAGAAGGCCTTGCTCAGTGATCAGTGCAAAGAAATAGAGGAAAACAGCAGAATGGAAAAGACTAGAAAGCTCTTCAAGAAAATTAAGAGATACCAAGGGAACATTTCATGCAAAGATGGGCTCAATAAAGGACAGAAATGGTACAGACCTAACAGAAGCAGAAGATATTAAGAAGAGGTGGCAATAATACACAGAAGAACTATACAAAAAGGTCTTCATGACCCAGATAACCATGATGGTGTGATCACTCACCTAGAACCAGACATTCTGGAGTGTCAAGTGGGCCTTAGGAAGCATCACTATGAACAAAGCTAGTGGACGTGATGGAATTCCAGCTGAGGTATTTCAAATCCTAAAAGATGATGTTGTAAAAGTGCTGCACTCATATGCCAGCACATTTGGATAACTCAGCAGTGAACACAGGACTGGGAAAGGTCAGTGTTCATTCCAGTCCCAAAGAAACACAAAGAAAAGAATGTTCAAACTGTCGCACAATTGCACTCATCTTACACGCTAGCAAAGTAATGCTCAAAATTCTCCAAGCTAGGCTTCAACAGTACATGAACCAAGAACTTCCAGATGTTCAAGCTGGATTTAGAATAGACAGAGGAACCAGAGATCAAATTGCCTATATCCGTTGGATCATAGAAAAAAGCAAGAGAATTCCAGAAAAACATCCACTTCTGCTTCATTGACTACACTAAAGCCTTTGACTATGTGGATCACAACAAGCTGCGGAAAATTTTTAAACAGATAGAAATACCAGGCCACCTGACCTGCCTCCTGAGAAATCTGTATGCAAGTTAAGAAGCAAAAGTTAGAATTGGACATGGAACAACAGACTGGTTCCAAATTGGGAAAGGAATATGTCAAGGCTGTCTATTGTCACCCTGCTTATTTAACTTATATGCAGAGTACATCATGTGAAATGCTGGGCTGGATGAAGCACAAGCTGGAATCAAGATTGCTGGGAGAAATATCAATAACCTCAGATATGCAGATGACACATCCTTATGGCACCACCCTTATGAAGAGGAACTAAAGAACCTCTTGATGAAACTGAAAGAGGAAAGTGAAAAAGCTGGCTTAAAACTCAACATTCAAAAAACTAAGATCATGGTATTGGCTCCCATCATTTCATGGCAAATAGATGGGGAAACAATGAAACAGTGACAGACTTTATTTTCTCAGGCTCCAAAATCACTACAGACAGTGACTGCAGCCATGAAATGAGCAAGACGCTTGCTCTTTGGAAAAAAAGCTATGACAAACCTAGACAGCGTATTTAAAAAGTAGAGGCATTACATTACCAACAAAGGTCTGTATAGTCAAAGCTATGGTTTTCCCAGTAGTCATATATGGATGTGAGAATTGGATCATAAAGAAGGCTGAGCACCGAAGAACTGATGCTTTTGAACTGTGGTGTTGGAGAAGACTCTTGAGAGTCCCTTGGACTGCAAGGAGATCAAACCAGTCCATCCTAAAGGAAATCAGTCCTGAATATTCACTGGAAAGACTGATGCTGAAGCTGAAGCTCCAGTACTTTGGCCACCTAATGGGAAGAGCTGACTCATTAGAAAAGACCCCGAGGCTGGGAAAGATTGAGAGCAGGAGGAGAAGGGAAGGACAGAAGATGGTTGAATGGCATCACTGACTAGATGGACATGAGTTTGAGCAAGCTCCAGGAGATGGTGCAGGACAGGGAAACCTGGCATGCTGCAGTCCATGGGGTCGCAAAGGGTCGTCATGACTGAGCGACTGAACACTGCTTCTCACTGAGACATCTTCACCACTTTGTATTGGCAGCAAGAAAACACAGCAGCTTCTTTTAGGAATAAAAGAGGATTCTATTTATGCAGAAGCTCCTCCCGCTTTCCCGGGCATATGACTTTATTTTCTAAGATGACCCTAGCAAGATACAGCATCAGTGTGGAAAGGGAGTGACTGAGACTGGCAGAGGCTGGTAGGTGGGGAGGGAGAGCGGTCCTTGGGAGATGCTCCTGGGGCCCCCTCCCCCCTCAACTCCAGCCTCTGAAGCCTCAGCTCTTGCAGACCTGGTGTCTCCTTTGCATATATATATATTTAATAACTCTGGTTGAAATGCTGCCTGGGTCCCTTTTGTGTGTCTGTCTGTCTGTCTCCTCCCATCTGTGTTGATGTAAATATTCACTGGGCTTCCCAGGTGTCTGTCTCAGTGGTAAAGCATCGCCTGCTAATGCGGGAGATGGGAGATTGATCCCTGGGTGGGGAAGAGCCCCTGGAGTAGGAAATGGCAACCCTCTCCAGTATTCTTGTTTGGGAAATCGCATGGGTGGAGGAGCCTGGTGGGCTACAGTCCGTGGGGTCCCACAGAGTCACAGACAGCTGAGCTACTAGACAACAACAGATACTTGTTGACTGGATGCGTGGTGGGGCTCTTGGCTGGACTGAATGCTGCGATGCAGGGTGGGGCCGCCTCCCCTGCCCTGGGCCAGGGCTGACTCCGTCCTGGCTGGCTGATTGCAGGGGCCTTCAAGCTCTACGACTTGGACAACGACGGCTACATCACCAGGAACGAGATGCTGGACATTGTGGATGCCATTTACCAGATGGTGGTGAGAAACTTGGGTCATGTGGGGTGGGGGGAGGCCGTAGGGACATGAAATTTAGTGACTGGGCCTGGCCCAGAGGAAGCACCCCCTGGGGCGGCTCTCCTGCCTGGGGTAGGAGATGGCCCGATGAGGGTCACTGCCCGGGGTTGCTCTGTGCAGATGGGGGCTGGGGTGGATGGGATGTTCTGGAGCAGAATTACAGATGGTGGCTGCATTGTGGGGAGCAGGAGGGAGGGAGAGGCAGGCCTCATCTGGAACTGCCCCTGTCAGGGGGGCATATTTTTTTTTTGGCTGTGCCCCAGGTCATGTGGGATCTTAGTTCATTGACTAGGGATCGAACCCTCACCCTCTGCATTGGAAGTGTGGAGTCTTAACCACTGGACTGAGGGAAGTCCCGGGGTGGCGGGAGTGGGGGGACGTATTTTTGAGCAAAGGGCCCCAAGCCAGGTGTGGCAGAGGCCAGGCCCCACCTCATCTGTCCCTGGCAGGGGAACACCGTGGAGCTCCCTGAGGAGGAGAACACCCCGGAGAAGAGGGTGGACCGGATCTTCGCCATGATGGACAAGGTGAGACCCCTCCCATAGGCTCCGCTGACCACCTAGGGGTCTGGCTCATGACTGTGTAGGCATCATGACTGGTGTGATGTCCACTGGTCTGGCTGGCAGCCATCCCCTTTGAACATCAAGGGTTTTAATTAAATTTGTCCAGCTCTTTCTCTTTGATTCACTAAGATTCTTAACCTTGTAAATTTTTTGCCATGAACCAGAGATGTTGGCATTCTGGACAAGTTGGCTGTGGACTCCTCAGAATAATGATTTTTAAGTGCATCAGATAAAGTCCACAGGATTAAGAAGGGAGCTATTTGGAATACAGCCAGCAAGTCCTTTTTTAAAAAAAATTTGTGATGTGAGCTTCTTTATGAATACGTTGGATAATAAGATATAGAGGTGGGCTTAACCATCCCATAATACCAAAGTGGGGCAATATGTATGGGTGGTCCTACAGCAGCTGTGATATGTCCTGAAAATGCTGAGATCCCCACAGTTGACAAAGTCACAGGTACTGCCGGTCCCGTGGGGTAGCGTCACCCAGATTCATTATGGAAGGAAGGGCTCAATTTCAGTTAGAAGTTAGCAAAAAGAACGACCTCTTTTTTTCCCATTTTAGTTCACAGACCTGCTGAATTCTGTCCACAGACCCCAGTTTAAGAAACCCTTCTTTTTAAAATGAGTTTGTTATTTTATCATTTTTTACAGTAGGCCCTTGTTGGTTGTCTATTTTAAGTATAGCAATGTGTCCATGGCAATCCCAAACTCCTAGTCTAGCCCTCCCTCTGCCCCCTGCTGGTAACCAGGGGAATAAACTCATTCTCTCTGAGTCTGTTTTGTAAAGAAGTTCATTCTTACCATTTTTTTAAAAACTTTTTATTTTGTATTGGGGTAGCCAATTGGTAAACAATGTTGTGATGGTTTCAGGTGGACAGCAAAGGGACTCAGCCATGCATATAACGTGGCCATTCTCCCCCACACTCCCCTCCCGTCCAGGCTGCCACATGACACTGAGCAGGGTCCCCTGAGCTATATATACAGTAGGTCCTTGTCGGTTGTCCATTTTAAGTGTAGCAGTGTATATATGTCAATCCCAAACTCCCCATCTGTTGCTCCTCCAGCCCTTCCCCTGCTGGTGACCATAAATTCATTCTCTAAATCTGTGAGTCTGTTTCTGTATCATAAATAAGTTCACTTGTATCAATTTTTTAAGCTTCTGCATATAAGCAATATCATATAAGAAACCTTTCTTTATACCAAAGTTTTAAAAGTGGAAATAGCATTGTTTTTAAATAGTAATTGGATAGCAGGATGGTATGGAAACCCAGTATTGCTTGCCTTCAAAAAAGAACACGAATGAGAGTGACCTTGGCCTTATTATTACATCCTGGTTGGGTGCAGGTGATTGTCCTGAAAGCTTTGAGCCTGAGGCCTGACTTCCTTAATTAAAACAGTGAGATCAGCTCATGTCAGAGAGGCTCAGACACGGAGGCTCCGTCGGCGCTGGGCTCCTGGTGGCAATCAAAACGTGCATCCACAGAGTGTGGGCTGAGAATCCTAGTTTCCTGAAGAGAGGTTCAATGTTATTCAACAGCACGGTGTTAAATCCCCCTCCCCCGCCCCCACTCAGACCTCCCTTATTTTGGGAAGCAAAAAGCACACTGGGGTCAGATTGGGTGCAAACCCGGCTTCCCCAGTTAGCAGCCAGGGGACCCTGGGCAGGTGACTGAGCTTTAGCATCCTCACCGGTGAAACGGTGATAAGACCAGCCCCTCTTCTTTAGACCAAGCACCCGTGTAGCATGAGTGTGGCCCAAGGTGGACACCCCTTGAGGTCTGCCTGCTGAATTTGTGGAACCCTCATCACACCGTCCCTCTCCGGGTGTGGGACGTGGCGGGGAGGGGGTGGCCTCCAAGGCCTTTTTCTTTTGCTCTCATGTGTTTCCTTGAAAGATGCTCCAGGGAAGGAAGTCTGGCCTGAATCATTTCCTCCCACAAGAGATCCACCAAAGCCTTCTTATGTGGGTTCCACCCAGCCTCCTTGCCGATCTCTGGAGTTCGGTGTACACTGCTCCAGAAATGGCTTAAACACCTTTCCAAGGGTGACCCCAGAGACACGCATCAGGCCCCCAGCCTTCCTTTGTGGGGACGAACAGCAGCGAGGATGATAACTATGGCCCTCAGGGGCACTGCCAGTCGGCCAAGCCCTTCACAACAGCTTGAGCTCAAGGACAGCTCTCCCAGTGCCCTGAGGAAGCTGGGCAGGTCTCTCCAGTCCCCATATGCGAAAACAGGAGCCCTGAGAGGTGGGTCGCCCACCCAAGGTGAGCCAGCCAGGAAGTGCCGGCTCCTCCCACCTAATGAGCGGCCTTGCCTGCCTCCTGACCTAACTTTGCAAGCTCTCTGGGGACCAGCCCTGGGCTGGGCTTGGGGAGGGCGTGTCCAGGGTCCGGGCCAGAGGCACCTGTCCTAGGAGGCTGGCCACACCCTCCCCTCTACCCACCTCTCTGCTTACAGAACGCCGATGGGAAGCTGACGCTGCAGGAGTTCCAGGAAGGATCCAAGGCGGACCCGTCCATCGTGCAGGCGCTGTCCCTCTATGATGGGCTGGTATAGTCCAAGGCCCAGAGCTGGGGTGAGTGGAGGGGGCCTGGGGGGGGGGTGGGCGCAAGGGGGCACACCCAGCCAGAGGACACCTGGGTTTGGCAGGTAAGTACCTGGGTTTCCCAGGGGCCCTTGGGGTCTGCCCAGCTGAAGCACAGCTAGTAGGGGAGGCCCAGGAGGCAGGGCCTTCAGATCAGCCAGGGCTCCTCTGTTTTTGTCGTTTTTACATACCTAGATTCATCCAGAGACTTGACTTGAATAGACGTTTCCCTGGGTTGAAAACACTTTGAAATGTCCCAGTTCTCAGTCAGGGCCAGGGGCCTGGGAGAATATCCCTTCTCAGTCAGGGTGGCTGAAGGCCCCAGCTTCTGACTCTCTTGATCAATAGCTCAAATGTGGCTTCTTTTTTTTTAATCCATAAGCTTTTGGTTTTTTGCTCTTAGTGTAGGATGATAGCCTACCGAGGCTTCTCTTGCTGGCAGAGAACTGACCTCCACAGTCCTGTCCAGCTGTCTTAAACATGTCTCCTGGATGATGCATTCTGTCGGTACAGACCTAAGAGTAGAATTGCTGGAACACAGAATGTGTGTAGTATATTTAGCTTTAGTTGGCACTACTGGACAGTTTTCCAATGTGGTTGTATTATCTCCCACTCCCACTCGTGATATATGGGTGCTCCCAGTTCTCCACTTCCTGGCCGGCACTGGATCTTCTCTCTCTTCTTAAATTTCAGCCGTTTTGGTGAGCCTGTAGTGATAGCTTGTTGTAATCTTTATCTGCCGTGTCTCTGATGAGCGCTGAAGTTGGGCACATTGGCATATGTGAAAGTGAAAGTGAAAATCGCTCAGTTGTGTCAGATTTCTTGTGATCCCATGGACTGGGCCTGGCAGGCTTCCCTGTCCATGGAATTCTCCAGGCAAGAGTACTGGTGTGGGTTGCCGTTCCCTTCTCCAGGGGATCTTCCCAACCCAGGGATCAAACCCAGGTCTCCTGCATTGCAGGCGGCTTCTTTACCATCTGAGCAGGGAGGCCCAAGAATACTGGAGCGGGTAGCTTATCCCTTCTCCAGGGGATCTTCCTGACCCAGGAATCGAACCAGTGTCTCCTGCATTTCAGGCAGATTCTTTACCAGCTGAGCTACCCAGGAAGCTGATGTGTGCATACTCAATTTTACCATCACCTTATGTGCAGCGCTGTCTTAGTCATCTGTTGCTACATACTGAGATCTTGCAAAACTGCAGCTGGAAAGAACAAACATCAGGGATTTGGATGCAGCTTTTTTTGGTGCCTTCGGCTCAAAGTGTCTCTTGAGGATACAGCCAAGCTGTCAGGAGGATGATAAACAATCCCAGTTGGCCCAAGACTATCCTAGATTTAGCGCTCAAAGTCCTATGTCCTGAGAAACCCCTCTGTGTTAGCTAAACCAGGGTGATCACTAACTGTTGGCCAGGGCTGCGGTCTCATCTGAAGGTGTGGCTGGGGGTGACCCACTTCTAAGCTCACTCATTTGGCTTGGCAGCCTCACCATGTGCCCCTCTGCACAAGGCTGCCTAACAGCATGGTGACTGGCTTCCCTGAGCGTGAGATTTCTGGGAGGGAGAGAACCCAAGGTGAAAGCATAGTCTTTTTATAACCCGATTTTGAGAAGCAAGATCCCATTGCTTCTTTCTCAAGAATGCCATCACTACTTTAAGCTATTTGTATTTCTATATACATTTTAGAATCAACTTATAAATGCCTATGTGCACACACACACACACACACACACACACACACACACATGCTTGGATTTTGATTGGGATTGAGTTTAATCTCGGCTTCCCAGGTGGTGCTAGTGGTAAAGAACCTGCCTGCCAATGCAGGAGATGTAAGAGACTTGGGTTCAATCCCTGGGTTGGGAAAATCCCCTGGAGGAGGGCATGGCAGCCCACTCCAATATTCTTGCCTGGAGAATCCCATGGACAGAGGAGCCTGGTGGGCTACATCCATAGGGTCGCAAAGAGTTGGACTCCTGGAGTTTACTCAAATTCATGTCCCTTGAGTTGGTGATGCCATCCTTTGAATTTTTGTCTTGGTAACATTTTGCTATTTTTAGCTAAAAGGTCTTTCACATCTCTTAATAGATTTATTCCTAGGTATTTGCTGTTTTTTGATGGTGTTTTAAGTAGTAATTTTAATTGTATTTTCCATTTGTTTCTGGTTTATAGAAATTCAGGTGATTTTTTTTTTTAACTGATCCTATAACCATGGTCCTGCTAACTTCACTTATGAAATCTTAGATTCTGCCTTAGATTCTTTTGGATTGTCTACGTTCTGTTTCTCCCTTTCCTATCTCTCTGCCTTTGTTCCCTTCTCCTGCTTCCTTGCTGGTCAGGCTCTCCAGTCACACAGGAGTGATGAAGGTCTAACTCTCAGGGGAAAGCTTTCAATAATTTCCCATTAGTTAGGTTGTTTGTTATTAGGTTGTATTAGTTAGGTTTTGTATTAGGTTTGTATTAGTTAGGTTGTTAGATAGATTTGATCAGATTTAGAAAGTTTTTTTCTTTTCTAGTTTTCTAGGAGTTTTTTTTTTAATCATTAGTGGTGTTGAATTTTATCAAAATTTTCTGCATTTATCAATATTCTTACATGACTTTTCTTTCTTTGTTGTTAAGATGATGAATTACACCAGTTGATTTGTATGTGTGTGTGTGAATACATTGTATGGCTCACCCATGGAGTCCTGCCCATTTAAATATTCAATGATTTTTAGATATTCTATGGTTTTTTTTCTGTTCTTTTTCAAATTCTTTTCCCATTTAGGTTGCTATATAATATTGAGCAGAGTTCCCTGTGCTATACAGTAGGTCTTTTTGGTTACCTGTTTTAAACATAGCAATGTGTGCATGTCAACCCCAAACTCCCTAACTGTCCTTCCCTTCCAGCCTTACCCCCAGGTAACCAAAAGTTCATTCTCTAAGTCTCTGAGTCTGTTTCTGTCTTGTAAATAAATTCATTTTTATAATTTTTTTTTCAGTTTTACATATAAGTGATGCCACATGATATTTGTCTTTTTCTGTCTGACTTTCTTCACTCAGTCAATCTCTAGGGTCATCCATGTTGCTGCAAATGGTGTTATTTCATTCTTTTTAACGGCTGAGTAATGTTCCATTGTATGTATGTACCACATCTTCTTTATCCATCATTTGTTGATGGATATTTAGGTTGCTTCCATGTCTTGGCTATTGTAAACAGTGCTACAGTGAACACTGGGGTGCATATATCCCTTCGAACCATGTTTTTCTCTGCATATATGCCCGCCCAGGAGTGGGATTGTAGGATCATATGGTAGCTCTATTTTTAGGTTTTTTTTTGCCATACCACATGACATGTGGGGTCTTAGTTCCCTGACCAGGGAAGGAGCCTGTGCCCCCTGCAGTGGAAGTGCAGAATCTTAACCACTGGACCACCAGGGAAGTCCCCTATTTTTAGTTTTTTAAGGAACCTCCATACTGTCCTCCATAGCAGCTGTACCAATTTACTTTCCCACCAACAGTGTGGGAGGGTTCCCTTTTCTCTATGCCCTCTCCAGCATTTATTGCTTGTGGATTTTGTGATGATGGCCCTTCTGACTTACACCAATTTATTTTTGAATGCTAATCCACTCATGATAAGCTTTTATGTATCATCAGATTTGATTTGCTGATATTTTGTTTAGGAGGCCTGTTTTGAAGCTTCTAATGTTATTTTGCATACTAAATCCCTTTTCATTGAAGGGACATTAGAAAACATGTTTAAAAAGAAAACCTCCATTAAAAATTATTATTGAAAAAAAAGCCCTTCATATATAACCCCTTTATATATAACCCATTGCAGGGCTCCACCTGCAATGCAGAAGACATAGGAGATGCAGGTTTGATCCTTAGGTCGGGAAGATTCCCCTGGAGGAGGAAATGGCAGCCCAGTCCAGTATTCTTGCCTGAAAAATCCCATGGACAACGGAGCCTGGCGGGCTATAGTCCAAAGGGTCGCAAAGAGTCAGACACGACTGAGTGACTGAACACACACACATATAGCCCAGAAATAACCACTGTGAACATTTTGTGTCTAGAATGATTCAGGAAGAATTGAACACTTACAGAAACTTAATGCTCAGTAACTAGGTCACATAGGAACATAATAATCAAACCAATTTGTAAAGGAACCGTGACAGATATTTCTATAATCTTAGAGATGCTCAGTATGCAGCTCTGGGTCCTGGAGCACATCCTGATCTGTTGTCTAATTTTCACGGTCCCCTTTTTGTGAATTACCACCAGCGGCCTCCTTGGCAACTGTCACCTAACAACTGCTTCATTTCCTCCAGGCTGTGGAAAAGTGGTGCAAGCCTGGGTTTTGATGTATTCCCCGCCGAGGAAAAGTTGTTCAGTGTAATTCATTTCTTTAAAGCGTGTAATTATTTTTGAATTACCTTATTTGTTTTTGTCTCACAGTTTTCTATGAATGTATATGTATACATATTTCCTCAACAACAATGAGTTCATAACCATATGCTGTTGGCTATTTTTCTCTTTTTGCTTTGTTTTTTCAAAGAACAACCTGTAGGAAACACTTATTTTTTCTTTTGGAGACTCAACACTAAGAGGTTTGTAACGTGTTTTATCCAACTTGGCTTCACATTCTTTGTGTCTGCACTGGCTTTCCTTAACACAATTTATGTAGCCATATATCTTACCCTCACCCTCACGTGTCAGCCAGGACGGTGTAATTTTATTTCCGTGACAAGCTTTTCAGGGTGACAAGATTCACTTTTCTAAAGCTCTTCCCGAAAATTGCCCTTCTCATTTTTTCTCAGGCTTTCCCAGATCCTGTCTGGTTGTAATTATATCCAACTTGTGTTCCGTCGTTTTTGTGATTTATTTGCCTTCTGAGATTCCTGATGTATCATAATTCTTAGATAAATTACTGTTATATAATTCATTGAATTATTCAGGAGCTGAGATCATGCATATTTTCTGCATCACTAAATCTTG